AAGTTTGTTAAAAATATGTATACCGATTGTTAAGATAACTAAACACTAAGTTTAAGTATTCTACCATAATTAATTATAAATATCAATCATATATCAAATACCAATATTACCAAGAATTTGAAAATAATATTAAGAACATTATTGCCTTCAGTTGGACATGAACGCACGAATTCGGAATTGAAAACACGAACGGAACATGTCATCTCGATTATGGGTACGAGTACTGTTCGTGCCATCAGAGATTGTTTTACTGTAAATAAACTGTACAATTTACAAATGTGCTGCGATCGAATTCTCATGTTTTACTCGAAATCTCATCCAATAAATGAGAGCAAGCTTAGCTATAAAACGTTAAATTCTTCGAAATTTCGCTGCAGTTTCGAGACAGATAACTAAAGTTGAAATCGCGAGAAAATTTTACAACTTACAGTGAAATGACGTTTGAAATTGAAGCCTTCACGCTGTACGCTCGTAGCGAATAAAAGAATTGTGATGCTTACAACTTGAACACAATGCAATATCTTCGTGACTGTACTTGGATTTTTTCGAGATTGCAACGGACCGTTTCGCGACGAAAAGATTGCTCGCTCTATATTATTAAATTTAGTTTATCTATACTAATACATAAAGCTGAAGAATTTATTTGTTTGAACGCACTAATTTCAGGAACTACTGGTGGGAATTAAACAAATATTTTGTGTCGGTTTGAGCATTTATCGAGGAAGTCTATAAAGCATCGAGATGCGACAAATAGGAGCGAATAAAATATGGGAAATGTGAAGAAACTGGAAAAATTATTCCACTATTAGTTAGTTATTTTATTAGTTTCGGATGCTTTGCAGCAGCCGTATCAGTGTTTTGTTTAAATGTGTACTACTCGCGTAAACTATAGACAGTATTTTATTCTTAATTTTTCAAATTTAAAATAAATATCTAAGAATAGTTTCCAAGCGAAATTAGCAAAAGTTCGTCGTATTGGAGAGTCTTCTTCTTAAAATGATCGTCTGGAAAGTATTAGAGTGTACGCGTCCCAATCGCGAGCCAGAGAATCTAGCGTCGAACGTCCAGTTCGTCTTGCAGAACGAAATGCAAGATCGTCGCAGCTATACGAACGACAATCAAGCGCCGAGCGCTCGCAGCGACTTGAAGGAAATAGAGCTAGGAATTCGCGAACGCGTGCACGGGACTCTATCACTAAACGCTCGCAGCAGCTCCTGACACAGCGAAATAGACAACGGTCGTTAACAGCTAGGAAGCGCAATACATTTTTTTTCTAATTTAGTGATTCAAAGTCGTTTTAATTAGCATGCTTATAATTTAAATATCTGTACCTATTTATTTCCACCCGTGCGAAGCCGGGACAGGGCCGCTACTATACTAACACATATAGTAAGTAAACATCGCTTTTAAAGGTTCACTCCCTAAATGTACAAAGCTCATCAAGAATCATTTTTAGTAGATTTCATATGCTTACAACATACACACTAAACATTGGCGCATTTATTTGACGTGCAAACGAAACAACACGTATTTAAAACATCAGTTAGAAATAATCGAGAAACGAAACGACGGTTTTATAAAAGCCTTTGTGTTCCAACGACATATTATTATTATAGCACATAATAGCGAAAAGATTCAATTTGTAAAAGAATCCAAGAAGAAAATTGTTGCGATAATATGGGAATTCCGGTGAATTTTCTTATAACGCATTTACCTTCTCATGTGCCGGTCCCGGGGGTGGGCCAGATTTGAACTGGGACCAGGAAAATTCTATTCTATTTTTACAATCATGTTATAGGTATTACCTTCTATATAAAATAAGCCTTGCTGGAATATATTGGAGTAAAACCTAGTTTGTTAATTTTCTTGCATGAAATAATAGTGTTTAAAACATATAATTGAACTAGCTGGTGCCTGCGACTTCGTTTATGCAGAATTAGGATTAGGATAACGTAGTATCGTGCATTTAAACTAAATGATATCTATCATATCATACATTACATAATTATGTGTAACTAACGTTTATGGCAGCGCACGCCAGAATAACTCGGAGAAAGGTAGGTCTTGTCCTAGTTATTTGACACTTAATAACATATTTTGGACAGCTCACACAACATATTTATAAATTGTAGCCTATGTGTTATTCTGATGTATAAGCTATATTATTGGGAAATTTAATTGAAATTCAGTAGTTTTTGCGTGAAAGAGTAACAAACATCCATACACACATACAAACTTTCACGTTTATAATATTAGTAGGATTTATATGAAATATACTGAATTGTGTTTTTATAGCTTAGTCGTTTCAACTTATTGACAGAGCCGTTTACAGTAAAGTATAAAAGACTTACCGCTGTTCCAGTTCAGACGAGTACCGCCCCTAAATTACTGATGACAATCGATGGTTTAACGCACTGTTCAAGGTATAGTTGTAACGCCGATTACTGGCAAACTGAAAATAGAGGTGAAAGCTTTATGTGACAAATTTCAAATATTTGCCAGGATTCGAATCCGGGTCCTCGTAAAGTGCCTAATCAAATCAATTTGTTTGTAGCGTATGCGAGTAGTGAACATTAAAATAAAAAAACCTATTATCGTTGTAAAACGCGAAATATATTAGTTCACTTATAACAAGTTATTTTAACTACGGCCTGACGCTTCGAATACTTTTGTAGCCTTCCCCTCGTGACCATCACGGCTGCAAAGAGGTAGGAAATATATAATTTTTACTTTCAAATTGTGGTTAATATGAGAATATCAATCGCATATAGCTTTCGCAGCCATTTTGTAAACTACTTGAAATTAAAAACCGTTATAATTGTTAAATACTGTCTATAGTTTATGCGAGTAGTACACATTTAAATAAAACACTTTAACGGTTTAAAACGCGATATATTAGTTAAACTTATTTGAAAAATAATTTTAACTAATATATCGCGTTTTAAACCGTTAAAGTGTTTTATTTAAATGTTATATTTTTTTCTTAATATAACGCTATTCCGATAGTAGTTCCGTTAGTCCAAGTAGTTTACTTGGACTTTGATCTTATAGTAGTGACTAAGCGAAGACTGTTCTGCTACTCCATAAGTACCTTTAAAGAAATATCCTTTAATTTAATGAAACAACAGTTCGTAAACTAGAGTCGTACACAATGAAAGCACTCCAGCCGCGTACGAAGCGGACATCACTTGCAATAGACGATGTAAAACTTTGCATAAACTGCTATTTTTACGCTATATGACCTAGATATAGAGGTGTTTATAAAACCGCGCGGCACTTTGTTTCGCTAAATGACACATTCTAACCTCGAATGGTTCTTTTCGCTTGGAGATTGTTATCTAGTTTCCCTATTACTAAAAGTGCGGCATATAACTTGCTTTATAATCATACTTTTAAGTTATAAAATAAATTTGAAATATTACATCTGAAAACGTTGTTTCCTTTCACAAGATGGCGCTATATTAATTGAAAAAACGTTGCGCGGGAGGATAATGTTTCAGTAGGTTGAAAATTCGACGATGACGTGTAGAACACGGTAGCTCAATTTGTTAGAGCGACAGCACGCCGCGCTGTGGTTGCCCGTGTCGTACAAAATTTTCATTCTATAATCATTTTTTAATTAATATTACATCTATTATTAGATTAGAGGAGGCTCCGGCTCTATGACCTTTAAATAAGATGCGCTGTCGGCCTTTCTAGCTATATTTAGACAATTCGACAGACTGAAACCGAAACGAGATTTTACACTTCACGGCTCTTCCACGGATTCCATTCAATTTTCCTCATCAAGTCAAACATGTTTACAAATATATATTTATGTTGAAATACGTCTAAGACCCTGCCGGAATCGAAGCCGCGACTCGTTGATTAGCCATGCCTTGAATCGCTAGACAAACGAGCTCGTTCAAAATGTAACTTATTAATAATATTATTGGAACTAGGTTTTCCGTCGCTACCCCTACACAAAACGCACTGTTTTATAATTCACAGGTGTTCCACCAAAACGCATCTAGATTTTCTTAATCGGTCGTATTAAAAAACCATGAGTTAGAAAAATTTAAAAGTCACATGCCTTGGTTTATAATCTAATTATAATTATAATCAGGCCGAATCACTAAGTATTACAAAAAAAAAATTGGTTAGAAATATTTTTCAACTTCATAGAACAAGTGAGGTTAATAAAAGAGATGAAAATTCTTAAGACAAGATTATATCAAACCTATTTCCTCCTTTCTATAAAAATATAAAATAGATATTAAATCAATATTAATAAAAATTATTTTAACTACAACCCGGCATTAACAACGTTTCATTTAAATGTGTACTACTGGCTTAAACTAAATAATACTGAACGATATATTGTGTTAGCACTGACCAAAAAAGTCGATATTATGAAAAGAAGAAATAATATCATTTTTGTAGAAAAACCCTCCAGCAAAATTATTTCCCAGAAAAAAAAAGACACTCCAATGAATGGAAAACTAAACGAGTTCTTTGTCAATTTCCAAGAAAATCATAAGGCTACGTCTACATTATGATTGCCTTTTTAAAGGAGGTTAGCATATTTTTCGAAAGGTTTTAGAAACGTGTTTCGTGTGGGCATCGTCTTTTTACGGGCTGTGTTGTAACTTTAGTAAACATATAACTACGATAAAATACGAAAAAAGATGAGCGATAATTCGCGAATTTTCGCTTCATCGCGTCGACTTTTCCGGACGAAGTTTTGATAAAACCTTTCATATAACATCCCGATTTCAAAAGTCCAAAATATTCTATATATAGTCCATTGTTTGCCTTGTGGAGATGACCGTGACCGGCAACCCATGACTTGTTGATTATTAGCCCTACATTGCTATTATACTAATGATCTCGTCTTGGATAATACGTTTTTAATGACTAGACAAACAAAATGAAGACGTGGAAAAGGAAAGAATTCCGCCATTGTGAAATGGTACTTAGCTAAACTGAACGTTGTGCATCCACTGAGTTTAGTACCGACAATGCATCGTCTACTGTTGTACACAATTTTCATACTCTCCTCAAACAGAATAAGTACATTTAAAACGTTAGAGAATTTTAAGGAACAATACAAGAAGGTAGAGAAACAGGATTTTAGTACTTCCGACGCGTTCGTGGGTAGAGCTATGGATTTTATTTATTCTAATAAAACTATTATGAGTTTGGTTGCGCGGGAGTTGTGGAATATTGGTTCTAAAGCTATCGATAGAATTGTCGATGTTAAAGGTAAGCCAACTGCATATAGGAAAGTATCATGACACATTGAAATTAAACACTTTTAACGGCTTACAAAGCGAGTTTTATTGGATAACTTAAACGACTTTACAACACAGTAAGTAATATATTTCACGTTATAGACGTTGAAAGTGTTTTATTTAAATACTATCATCCATCCATTAAATATAAATACCGATTTAATTTGATAAGTCTTTTATTCTTCGTAAATGAACTGATAAGATCAGTCGTTTTATTGACTTTTTATTATAGATACCCTAATATTCTAATCTGCAACTTATTGCGTAAAGCGAATTTTACATTTATTAATTTTCAACGCCATCAGGTCACGGAGGTGCTCAATCAATAGAATTTTATGGTGAAAAGTTCTATGTTAATTATTGCAATGATTTCAAGAGACAAACAATTATTTGGTTTGTATTGTATTAAACATTCCTCTTTTCAGGAAAGCCAAGCAAGAAGTGATTAATAGAACGGAATCGCAAATAAAATGATAAAATAATAACAATTTGTTTTATTCCAACTCATTTCGTTCAAGTTTATAAGGCATACATATTTAAAAAGTGGTCAAGTGCGTGTTTGGTTCGCGCCTTACTGGATTCCGTAATATCGACTAGGTAAACAAAATTGTAGATGGATATGAATGATGGATAGAAGTGAAGAAGAAGATAGATGTGTACACAATATTATAAAAAATAGAATTATTAAATATAAAACAAAAATATTAATCTAAAAGAGAAAGTAAAAAAGACTTTTTAACAGAATATTAATAATGTTGTTTTGGAAATTGGTAGAAAAGGATCTTTTTTAGCTAATATCATGTCTCATCTTGATCTTAAACTGATTTTTAACAAGTCATATTATTTTCTTTCGTTCGTGCTATGTCTTTTAATTGAGAACTGGTAGTGAATGTAAATTTAGAGTTTTTAGTTTTTAATTGGTGTCAAGTATATAAGTTTACCAGGTTGTAGACGTGACTGAATGATTTTTGACTTTCAACCATACATCCAAAGAATAAAAGACCTCTGCAAAGTACCCTTGTTTATTACATCATATCACATACTGAATGTATTGTTGGTCTGGTCTCCTTTTGGTTTATAAATAAGGCAATCTCGACCCTGTTCATCAATTTTAATAATATTGAAAGTGCAGTATCTTCTCAAATATTTTATTCACTATGTTGAAATGAACGGTTGCACGAAGCACACTGCATTAAATTATACAACGTACAGTTATTCTCGGAATTCTGTTGTTTTTATTGTTTCTGTCCAAAATTAAGTTTTTTTGTAGTATAAATTAAATTGTAGCTAACATAATACAGAGAAACTGACAAATATCTATGTCTTTTTCAACGATCGTTACGGTATGGCTCGGCCTTAATCTTTTAAAGATTTGAATGCTGGACGTGTTTACATCAGAGCTGTGGTTATAGTCAATTTGTTCAATAACAATGTATTTTTTACTAAATCACTTTTAAGCTGTAAGGTTTATCATAATATATATAATAATAAGATAATAATATTTGCTTAGTATTATTGATTTTGCACAAAAAAATATTGTAATCTAAAAGTAGCTTAGTTTAAAAGGTTCCATAGCATATATAGCTTGTCACCAACGTACATTTTGATAAGTTAGTGTCTAGTACTACAATGTAAAAGTTTTACATATAATACACATTGCTCAATAATAATCTGTATGTTTAAAATGTACTTTACTCCACAAAAAGGTATTACTACTTTAAGACATTAAACTAAAATCTGTTTAAATAACAGAGTATACATGTTTACGGACACAAAGATTACAATGGACTACAAGACATAACAGCACTAAACAAACGAAGAATCACTTTTACTAGGAAACGTGAAACGAGTCAAATTGTTTAGTTTATTGGTAGTATTCGTGTAATTCAGTGCTATTTAAGATATATTTTTCGCTTATTAACATATAACAACTAGCAATGTCTATGGTCGGCCATTTTGTTAACTTAATACTTATTACAATATGGCTGCACAAATTCATCGTCGACACAAGGTACTACCATAATTAATTTAATTAACATAAAATATATCTACATATATTATGTACACTGGAGGGCTTAATAATATTTTAAAAATATCTTGAAATTAGCAAGCGGGATTTAAACCCACTATTAACATCATATCGAGCTTTTTTTGTATAAGTACTTGGCATATTGCCGAAATGTATGTTTTTTAAAAAGTTTATCATTAGTTGTACTAAACAGATAAAAAAAAACGTTTTTAGTTTTATTTAGTATTAATCTAAACATATGTTAATTTAACTACTGTCTGTAGTTTACGCGAGCAGTACACAGTTAAATAAAGCATTTTAATGGTTTAAAACTCGATATATATTAGTTTAACTTAGTTGAACATTATTTTAACTATAGGCCGGCGTTTCCGGCCGAATATTAATTTGTATAATGCCATCATGTACACAGCATGTGAAAAATAAGGAGGTTTTCAAATTGTTTCATGTAAATATTAAACATATAGTTGTACAAAATCATTTAGTAAGTTAATACTATGAATTTCTCATTTAACAACCACCTATTATCCCGCAGAGTACCTAGTTTAAGAGAAGAGTTCCAGCCTCCAAGGGATTACAGACCCTCGAAGTGGATTTCAAATAGTGCACTTGACGTGTGGTACGGAAACAAAAGTATGGTGGATATCCTTTCAAGAGAATTCAAGGAAGTTGTGGATAGAATTGCGAATAGACCCGGTGAGATCTTTTTATGGTTAAATAAATAGAAGAGAAACACGTTTATTCAAAAAAACAACTTTTACAATTGAAACTTAATCTACCGAACAATATCAAAAAGTGAGTTCAATTTTAATTTATATTTTATTTAATAACAACAATATAGTTGACTCTATAAGGAGTAGGTAAGGAGGCTGCTCAGCTCAGCGGTTAGATACATTATTTAAAATAAGCATTTTTGATGCGCTCGGCAGTCTAACGGTAACAATATATGAGTTTTCGTCAACGGGTCTAGGGTTCGATCCTCGTTTGTTTCTAATGATTTAATAATTCTTCTGAAACACTTGGATTTCGTCTGGTTTCGAATTTCGGTTTCAGTCAATGGATTTCCGAATATCCAAAGCCAAAATAGTTTTACAGCGCATCATGTTTAGATATTATATCACTAGGCTATTTCGCCTTCCAACAAGTGTCTGTCAATTCTATTTTAAATAATCACGTGTTACGACGACTTTAAAATATTTTCTAATAAAAGGTCTTAAAAGTGACAATTCCATAAGCGCTGGTTAAAGATTTATTAGGCTTGTTGATGAAATCTCTTCAATATAAAAATCAATTTTTCGATTGAAAAAAAATTACTGTTCGGAGAGGACTTGCACTGGCATTCACAGCGTTCCGTGCTGTTACTCTAACCAATTGAACTACCGTTTACATTTAAAAATTTATATCCCTTTAAATTTTGTTTAATACAATTCGGATTAAGATATTCTTTTAGTATAATATATGAAATTTTATTGTATTTTTATAAATAATAATAAGAGAACGTCTTTTTCAGTCCGTTCAAATAATGAGAGTATTAGCACCCCGAAGAAGTTAACTAATGACAATTCATCAATGCCTGCTGAACGTCGGATTGAAAATGAAACAAACAGCTTACAACAGCAAGCAGCAACAGCACTTATAAGTTAATATAGCTCAATGACAGCTGATGAGAATGGTTAAAATTTCAATAATTTAAAAAAATATATAAATAGTTATGATTAGTCAACGTGTGATTATGTAAAACGAATGATAATATAAAATGACAATTAAAAAGTACGAACTGTCTATAGTTTACGCCAGTAGTACACATTTAAATAAAACACGGGGTCTCCCCGTGACCACGGCTGCTGCAAAGCATCCGAAACGTCGGGCCGAAGTTAAAAATCATTTTCAAATAAGTTTAACTAATATATCGCGTTTTAAACCGTTAAAGTGTTTTATTTAAATAAAAAGTACGAATTTCAATTTATCGTGGCAATATAGAATATTGATGTTATAGATGTTTCTTTTGAAATTGTTTGATATATAAGCATAAAAAGATTATCATTTGTTTGATAAAATACTATATTTATGTATTCTATTGTAAGTTTACATAACAACAACAATGTGTAATGTCCACGAATTTTTGAACATGTATTGTGCCATGACGCGAGTTTAACATTTTTTATCCGTTACAAATAAGTGCGCAACGTTGTTGAGACATGTTTACTTCACAAATAGTTTTACTGTAGTTGACACGTGTTACATTAAAATAAAATTGGACGATTTAAGACTTAACCATTTAAATGAATCATTTTTAACGCTCTTTCTTCTAAGGAATTAAATAATTATTTTAATGAGTTTATTTCGATGTCTTGGTATTCCCGCATTTGTACTATTCATTTATTTTTGCGCAATAAACACTGTCTGTAGTTTACGCCAGTAGTTCACATTTAAATAAAATACTTTAATGTTTTAAAACGCGATGTATTTTAGTTAAACTTCTTTGAAAATTATTTTTAAACAGCAGCCGTAGTCACGGAGAGACTGTAAAGCATTCGAAACGTCAGGCCGTAGTTTAAAATGATTTTCAAACAAGTTTTTAACTAAAATATATCGCGTTTTAAATAGTTAAAATGTGTATTTAAGTGCAATAAACAATCATAATTAAATAAATATTCAGCGTTTATAGTTTTATTTTTGGTAGGTACTTCAAAATGTAGTTGGTTTTTACTTCTTGCATCTTTATAGTAAATCTACTTACGAGAAGCTACAGTGTTATTTGTAAACGGTGGATCTTAACGGAACGAATTTCGATATTCCTGTTTATCCTTATTCCTCCATTATTCCTTCCTATTTATTTAATATCGATTTTTTAGGTAGGAATTGATCACGGTAATCCTTACCCATTCTGCTCGTCAAGCGAATCAAAAATACAGCCCTATTAGTTTGCAATGAGGTATTACAAGCTCTATTTTTATATCCTAAATTTCAGTTTGCCTGGAAGAGATCGCTTATCAGCAATAAGCTCGTCAATTGTATTCCATTTTTTGTGCACTGAAGAATAAATAAGTCGACACAATTAGACGAAGAATTTCGCTAGCGTATGAATATGAGGCACTTCTTAGAAAAATGACCTATTTTAAAATTCCAAAGCGCGACATAAGCACAGCGCCAAGACCTCTCAGCACTCACTTATCCAAGACCTTAATTAAGAAAACATTGAGCTTCCCACTCGACTACAAAGGGATTGCGATGAACCAAATTCGATGAGAACAGCGTATCAGAAGCCGCAAAATTCCCTTTTTGGCAACTAATAAATAATTTCGCTCGTCCCCAAGCACTTCGGGCGTTCGCTTTGATGTTTTAAAAGCCACTTCATAAGTGCTCAGCAGTTGCTTGATTAGACGATGCGTGGGGCGGCGGTAGATGAATGATTAATGCGTGGGGGTCGCTGTTTCTTAATATCTAATAAGTCATAGTCAAGGACGCGCATACGCATATGGCATGCATTAGTGGACTATTGTCGAAAGAAACATACATTAAAATGTTACAGAAGCCAAAGACAATTTTTTTAATCTAAAAAGCCTTAAGAATATTTAGATAGAATATTGGACTACGACTAGTTCAACTAAAATACTTTAAATAGGTTAAAATTAGAAATATATTAGTTAACTTATTTATACTACGACGTTGTCCCCCCGTGACCACGATTCTTGCAAAGCATCCCAAACATCGGACTGTAGTAAAAATAAGTTAAATATATTTCGTGTTTAAAACCGTCAAAGTGTTTTATTTACATTTGTACGTGATTATTACAAGCAAAACCTACGTCATAGGGTCAATAAATTTAGAAGGGGATAGATACATTTTAATAAAATAGAGTACAATAGAATTTTATATAATAAATGCTTTATTATTATTACATATAAGCATTAAGTAACGGCTTATTTTGCATATGGTTTTTCCTTCTTTGTGGATCCAATATTACAGTTAACTATGATTTGTGTTACAATAATACTTTGAGCCTGTAACCTAAAAAATACCTCAAATATGATTGTGTAGATCATCCGATATTTCAAGAGTTACAAACAACTTTTCTATACATATTAAGTAAATAATTGTATAACGAAATAGTGTCTTTACAATGTCCAATATGAAAACTTTAATATTTTCACATGTTATTGCATATGTATTTTATAAATTAAAAATCGTAGCTCGTAATGCCCTTGTCATATATCAATTTTTAATTTATGTACAATTTTGTAATCCATTATTCTAGGAGTTCAAAACAATTTAATATTCATATTAAATGAATGATTGTGTAACTAAACAGCATTTTAACTATTTAAACAAAACACTTTAACGGTTTAAAACGCGATATATTAGTTAAACTTAGCCACCCCATGACCACGGCTGCTGCAAAGCATCCGAAACATCGGGCCGAAGTTAAAAATCATTTTCAAATAAGTTTAACTAATATAACGCGTTTTAAACCGTTAAAGTGTTTTATTTAAATGTGTACTACTCACGTAAACTATAGACAGTATTTAGCATTTTAACTCTTCTAAACATTATATTAGATGATAAATATAAGGGATTAATAATTCAAAGGACGTCGTGTTTGTGACATCTCCTATGATCCTTTCGAGAGACGGTTTAAGCTTCGAATGGGAGTGTGGGCGCACTCTAATGAGAGTACTTGTCAACAATGCTGTTCCACTACGCGAAGTCAATTGTTCAGAGCTGAAGACGATTGTTGACAGTTATTTACATATCGTTGATTTAACAACCAAGACCTAGGATTACATATCGAATATAGAAATTTATGGTGACTCAATGTGTCTTACTCTTACAAAACTGCTTAACCGATTTTGATGAAATTTAATACGATTATTCGCCTCAGGATTCGCTATAGGTCAACTGCCAGTTGGTTAGTTACTCTGATTAGTGTTGGTGTACTAAACTAGAAGTTCTGAACAACTTTACATCATTCAAAATAAAACGTCTCAAAATCCAAAATATATTAATTAAACTTATTTAAGTCACCTCATGACCACGGCTGCTGTAAAGCATCCGAAATGTCGGGATCCAGTGAAAATAATTTTCAGTATCAGTTTTGTTGTTTGGTTACATTTTTATTAGTTTTAATTATTATTTACTTTGTACGATTAAACTTTATCTGCATGTCGTGTCTACACTAACATAGGTATATAATTAATAATTATAAACTTACAATTAAAATATACAGCCTTATTTAAGAAATGCAAAACATTCATATATAAAATGCTTAACATGTATACAACCTCTTTAAATAAATAAAAAAACGTTTAAAACGCTAAAAACATGTTTTGCAGACTGCAGCTGTCGCGGTCACCGAACCGTTGGGACGTATTAAAATTAAATTGTTAATAAGTTAACGAATATATTTGCGTTTTAAACCGTTAAAAGTATTTTCTTTATATATACTGCCCCCAGTTATATGGCTGAGTAATTTACAAACATAAAAATCAGGATATGTTACACATTGGGGTTTTTAGATGAATAGCGAACAAATATAATAAAGTACACTAAGCCATTGGGTATCGAAAATAATTTATTTAAAAATCTGTCGGCATGAAAATACGCACAGCAGGGCCGTAAAAGTGAGCTGAACAAATGAAATCCATTGTGTTGTGTTGTGTAAGCACGGTCCAACATTTGTCTAACAATACGGGGCGCGTAATGTTTCAACCACTATTGTTTAGCACCGACCTTTGATAACAATGATCAATCTCACTAACTTTAAACTTCGTTCGACCATTGTTATGGCTCGTGGAAGTTGGGAAGTTACCAAGTAATTTCAGATTAAATTCACCAAAATATTTAATAATTAGTTTTTGGTCTAAGGTCGGAGGTTGTGTTTCTGTTGTCTCAAAAGGTTTGTTTAAAGTTTAATTAGGTATTTGTTTTATAACATTGGGTCTGGCTTGTTCGTGGTCTTGTCATTTCTTGGAACTGTTTTTTATACAAATTGACAGTTTCAAGAAATGAAAAGCACTGGTGACATTTATATTTGAAATCAAATTTTAAAACAGGAAATTCCACAGAATTTTTTACATATTTTAAAATGCTCTTTTCTCAATCTTAAAAAAAAAAAAATTATACACACCCAATCCAATATTCTCAAGAACCCTTTATAATGCTTTATGGTAATATACGCGATCGATTATAACTAACTATATTTTTTACGTAAAATTTGAAATATAACATATTTAACTGGTTAAAACGTGAAATATATCTATTATTTTAACTACTCGCTAACGCTAATTGTTATTTGACTAATTAAAACTATATTCATGATTATCTTTTTTTATTTATTGTAAGCTCATCTCAATACTATAAGTTTTCAAACGAATAAATAATAAAAAAACAATGTTTTTCACTCAAAAAGTAATTCACATTATTATGTACATAGTTTTATTCCAGCCGAGGAATTGTATCTCCTAATAAGCGTGTATTTCAAAAAGAAAAAGCATCAAAGCAATGTAATACGGTACATTAGAAGATGCCGCAAAAATCCCAGTTTTATGTCTCTTGTGCGTGTACAAAGCTGCAGTCTTTGTGAGCTGGCTTTAGAGACATTCGGCGAGAAAATGCTTTGAACTTTTTTATAACACCGTCGTACT